GGGGTTTAGGTTTAGAAGGGAAAAAGAAAAAAGAATAAAAATAAAAATAAAAATAATTAGAACTTACCTGGGCGGCAGACTAGGCATAATTCACCACGCCCGTGCCGCGGTCGCGGTGAAAAAAGAAAAGCAAAACAGAATAGTTGCAATTCATCGCGCCCGTGATGCGGTCCCACCGCGGTCGCGGTGGCCCAGAGACATAATAGGTCCAAATTGTCGCGCCCGGGCCGCGGGCTTCCGAAAATTTTTACCTTTCCGGAGTTGGTTCTTCACCCCGACTTCTCCCACTATGCACTAATCTTGCCCTGTACACTATAAAAGGGTTAGTATCATATACATAAAGTACAACATAAAAACAAAAGGAGAAACAAAAGAAAACATGGGTTGCCTCCCACGCAGCTCCTCGCAGCACGACGCAGGCTCATGTCATCACTCCTCATTTGGGTATTGGGGCTCCTCCAACGTTATCACTACGCTGCCCCCTTTTTCTTTAATCATTCCAAGGTAATGTTTCAACCTCTGCCCATTCACTGTGAATTTGTTCGTCCCATCTTCAGATTCGATCTCCACAGCTCCACTTGGGAACAATTGCACCACTCTGAACGGTCCTGACCATCGGGACTTCAACTTACCCGGGAACAACCTCAATCTTGAGTTATATAGTAGCACTAGTTCTCCGAATTTGAAGTTCCGATTCAAGATATGCTTGTCATGCATCAGTTTCATCCTTTCTTTATATAGTCTAGCACTCTCGAATGCCTGGAACCGGAATTCCTCAAGCTCAAGCAACCCATTAACTCTGTTGGTGCCCGCTGTCTCCATGTTTAAGTTCAGCTGCCGCAATGCCCATAGTGCTTTGTGTTCGAGCTCAATCGGAAGGTGGCATGCCTTTACAAATACCAATTTGTATGGTGACATACCAGTTGGAGTTTTGAAGGTTATGCGGTATGCCCACAATGCATCATCTAGCTTTTTGCCCAATCAGTTCTTGTTGCATTCACTGTTTTTGAGAGGACACTTTTGATTTCCCTATTGGACACTTCCACCTGCCCGCTTGTTTGTGGGTGGTATGGTGAGGCTACCTTGTGGCGAACTCCATACTTCTCCAATAGGCGTGCAAATGCTCTATTGCAAAAATGAGAGCCACCATCACTCATTATGGCTCGGGGGGTGCCAAAACGTGTGAAGATGTTTTTCTTTAGGAAACTGGTCACCCCTTTCGCCTCATTGGTTGGGAGAGCAACTACTTCGACCCACTTGGATACATAGTCAACGACAACCAGTATATACTTGTTACCGTATGAGCTGACGAAAGGCCCCATGAAGTCGATCCCCCACATATCAAACACTTCCACCTCTTGGATTGTGGTCATTGGCATCTCATGACGACGGGATATGTTGCCCGTCCTTTGAAATTCATCACAGCTTTTGACCCAAGCATGGGCATCCTTGAACAACGTAGGCCAATATAGGCCTGATTCCAGCACCTTTGCTGCTGTCCAAATTCCTCCAAAGTGTCCACCATATGGCGCAGCATGGCAAGCCTGCAAAACAGATTGTTGATCTTGCTTGGGGATACACCGCCGGATTATGTTATCAACACATATTTTGAAAAATAGGGGTTTATCCCAATAATACGCACGACAATTATAGAAATTTCTTTCCTTTTGAATTGAGGAGAGATCATGAGGTACAATACCACATGCTATGTAATTAGCAATATCAGCATACCATGGTGCCTCCTCCATTCTCACAGCAAGTAATTGCTCATCCAGGAATGTCTCAATGATATCTTCAACCTCTGTTCTCCTTTCTGCCCCTTCCAACCTCGAGAGGTGGTCTGCTACTTGGTTTTCTGTCCCCTTTCGATCACGAATCTCCAGGTCAAATTCTTGTAGCAACAGAACCCAGCGAATCAAGCGGGGCTTTGACTCCTTCTTTGCTATCAAGTACCTAATGGTTGCATGGTTAGTATAAACAATAACTTTCGAGCCAATAAGGTATGACCTGAATTTGTCGAAGGCAAACACTACAACGAGCATTTCCTTTTTCGTGACTGTGTAGTTCAGTTGTG